TGCGCGGCCGCGCAGCCGCGCACCTTAGAGGGAACAATGCTCCTGAGGTCTGAGACTTTCCCTAATAACCACCGTCAACCCCCCACCCCTGCCCTGGGCTCTTGGCTGGTGAAACACCTGGAAGCCTGGTGGGCATAATTCACTAAGGGGAACACCCCCCTCTTGGCCCAACCAGGTCTCCGTAATGCACGCCAGGTCCGCTCTACCCTCTTGTATGAGGTTGTAAATGAGAGGCGCCTTATGTACCACGGACCTGGCGTTAAGCGACACCAGCCGGAGACCAGGGTCCTGTAATCCCGAGCACCCAGGGGTATGAGAAGGATGATGAGGGTCGGAATGCGCGATCGCTCTTAAACAGCGGACCCGCATCCCCCGAACATAATTTGGCCCTCGGCCCCCACCATATCTGCCTCTCCCACAAACAGTAGAGATGGTGGACCCCCAAATGGAATGGCTTAATGTCTCCCCCGGAATCCCAACCCTTATAAATGTTATATTTCACACAATCAAACCAAAATATCCATAATCCAAGTTCTTTTCCACAAAGGTTGTTTTCTTTCTTCTTTTCCTTTTGGTAGTCATAATCTATGTTATAATCCACAAAGTTATCAATTATAATCCACAGGGACACGGCATATTGTAATCCATAAGGGCCCACCAAGACCCCACTTTCTGTTTATAAATAGTCCAAGTTCTTTTCTACAAAAGTTATTTTCTTTCTTGTTCTTTTCTTTTAATAATTCTATATTGTGAACCACAGAGTTATTAATTATAATCCACAGGGACACACAAAGTTGTAATCCATAAAGGCCCATCAAGACCCCAGAATTATATCCAACATATTCTAAAATCCCAAGAAGAGGAGTTAGAGGCTAAAATATAAAAATCTTCATTATCTTGTAAGCAACCTCTATTACTTCCCAGTTCAGTTGCTCAATTACTCAGTTGCTGAAATCTGTATCTAGTCCAGGAGCTGCAATGTTTACATCTTACACTATTTCTACTCTTTTCTCTGTGATTCTTTTCTATCAACAATTCCCAGGTGCAGGCAGCTCATCTAAGTCTTGCAGTCTTGTAAAAATGTTCAGGGTCAACAATTTCTCACTTTCTCTTTCCACTCTCTTTGATTTCCCTTTAACTTTTCCCTGGCCAGTAGATGTTGCTGTTGCTCTGTTTCTCTTCTGCTCCTCTCCTTAAACTTCTTTGGTAAGTGCCATTTTTCCCTTTTAAAAATTCCAGAGTCCAAGTTTTAATAATCCCAAATAAAGTTTAGGTTCATTAAATTAACCAATTCGATTTTCCTCTTTTAGCACTTTTATCCTTCAGTTATCCAAATAATTCAAATTTCTTATTCAGGTCTATTTCAGCTTTGTGCTTATTCGCTGCTATTTCAGGGGGTGGGAGATCAATAAAACCACCCCCCTTCTTTTTCATCCCCACTATCACTCAGTCAATTTTAAATGGGGCAATTTTGGCAGAAGTTAGAAAGTTCTCACCCAGTCACCATACTGTTCTTTCAATCTCTCTTCATTCTTCTCCAATTGGGCTGTCACAGCCTTGGATGGCACACAATGATTGTCTTTTCCTCCTCACTGGATTGAGAGCTTGCCTGGATCAAACAAGGAATTTGCAGCCTCTTTGTGATCTACAGGGTCTCCTCTCTTCTTCACCACCCCTCCAAGGTGGCTTAGATCCATTAGGACCCTCTGGCAAGGGGAAATCTATCAACCTCCATAGAGCCCTATAGAGGGATCATCGTACCACCGCGATGTCAGCTCCCTCTGCCCGGGTATATAAATTCTTACAGTTCAGCTGCACTTGGACATTTTTGTATTTTTAAAAACTTTTATAGTTTGTTCATATAAGAATAAAAAATAGAGAAAAAAACTAAAATGCAATCAAATGTGACTGTCCTCAACATTGCCAACATCCCTGGTTTGTACCTTTTTCCTTCCTGTATTTCTGCCTCTAGAAAATGTTCCCATTTTATTGCGATTTTATTGCATCCCATTTTCTTTTCCTAAATGACAGTCATCTTGCTGAAGGCAATTTCTTGCTAATAGTGTATTTTATTTCAATTTCAATCTTATTTCAATCTTTATTGGAATCTTAGAAGAAGTTCTGCAGCTATTAAATACACTAGGTATAATTTCTTATACAAATTATAGTTCAATCATTAGCATTATTTTAGATATAAATTATAACTCTAGAGTGGTCTAAAATGGAGGTCCCCAACCACCAGGCCACAGCCCACTACTGGGCCATGAGCTATTTGGAACAGGGGTGCGGAAGCAGTGGGCGAGCACATGCATCCCCACTTGCATGAGCAGTGGGGCAAGCATGTTTGTGCATGCTCCATTTGCGTGAGTGGCAGGCCCACATACTTGCCCACCACTTGCATGGAACCATCCCCTCCTCCACCAATCTGCAAATGTTGGGGAACTCTGGTCTAAAAGAGACTGGCTGTGCTAGAGAAGTGAAATGAGACATTTGTGCTTCTAAGCCTTTAAAAAAATAATAATCTGGTTCTACCAAGCAAATAATATAAAATACTATGAGAAAACAATATGCAAAAGAAATAAGAACCATCAAGCAACCTTCAGCTCATGTTAAAAATTATCTTTGTCTTCACTTTCTCTTTTGCAGAAATACAGGGTCAGTCATGCTTGGATGGATCCCGACGAGGCACTGGGAAAGACTGTCCATTCTGTGGAAAGTCCTTCAGATCTTCCCACCATCTCAAAGTTCACCTCCGTGTCCACACAGGTAAGAGTCAGGGAGCGGCAACATGGGGTAAGTATGGAAGTAGGTGGTAAGGTTCATTTGCCTACGGCGTAACCTTTCACATTAAATCATCTCTGAAACTGATCCTTTTGAAAATATAGTACAGGAAGACCACTTGGTTTAGACCACAAATTTCAGTGTCCAAGTTGGGTGAAAAACACCCTTCCTTCCATTAGCATGGTACATAACCAGAACTATCTTCAAGTCAGACACCTAAATGGACTCTCTTACCATATGTTGCAACCAACCAGAAAAAACATCACCCCAAAGAAAAATAATTATGCATCATCGCTGTGCCAATTAATTCCTCCCCTTTTTTTCCTATAGGTGAGCGCCCATACAAGTGCCCTCACTGTGACTATGCCGGCACTCAGTCTGGCTCGCTCAAATATCACCTGCAGCGCCACCACCGGGAACAAAAGAATGCTGCTGCAGCTGTAGCAACAATGGAACAGTGCCACATGCCCCTGGCTCCTACTGCAGTCCCTGCCTTTCCCCCTATGCAGCTCAACAAGAGCCATGGGTCCTTCCTTCCTCTAGGTGGAATGTGGGAAACTCAGCCCCGCCAATCCAGCCACAAGTCACTGCTAAACGGGAGGGCTGATTTCCAGCCATTGGATCTTTCCCTACNGGGGTCTGCCAGTATGGAAAATAATGTCCATTTCCATGTTTTATGAACTATGATAAGTAGGGCCAGCACTTCTTTGAACATTTGGAGCTGTCAGCCTCATCCCATAACAATTGCACAAACTTGGGCTCCCCTCATTATATTGAAGTTGCCACTACACAGATTTAGAGTCATGTTAGGTTCCTTCAAAATAAATAAATGAATTATTAATATTCCTTATTCTGGAAAAGTTGTAGACCCATTTCAAAAAGCTCTACAATCCTCAAAATGTCTTGAAAGGGAAAAAGTAGTGAATAGTGAGGCTTTCTTAGAATTACCGTCCTGTCAAATCACTCCCAAATTCAACATAACATAGTCAATGAAGTTACATACAACCCCAGGACAATATCTAAGTATCTACTGGCCTAACTTACATTGGTTAAATAAATAAATAATTCATGACTCCATGATCAGAAAAGCACTGAGTAAAAACAGGATTCCTATGTTCGCCCCTAAATTGCATAGAAATGTTCTGGCAGGATCAGAAATGAGCATTTGTTGCTAGAAAACCACAAAATATTACTGAGTTGAAGCAGTTTGCTATTTTTGGAATGGCCAGAAATCCTACATAATTATATGATTACATTAAATTAAATTAAGTCAGGTAGTGGAGCTGCAACTAGTTACTGAATCTGAGGGAGTGATTACACTTTCAATATTCTTTCAACAAGAATTAAGCCCAGTGCATTTTGTGAAATTGCTTAGCAATGTTTTCAATTTTTGTGGGGTTTTTGTGTGTGTATTTTAAATTTTACAACGCGAGTGTTTATTTGATTGCTTCTCTTGTAGAAGCTTTTTTGACAGCATATTTTATAATGCATTTCATTTTTATATGTCATTTTTTGCCCTCCAATATGGTAGTTAAATAAAATAAAATAAAAAGATGTCTATCTTAGTTTGGAAACTAAAAGGAAGGGAAACTCAGCATTTTGTTAAATTAGATTTCCTTTCTACATCTGTCTGACCCATATGAAACTCCTATAATATTCACAAGATATATAAAGATTCAGAAAGCCCCAATGAGATCAATTACTTTTGCAAAACTCTGGAATGACTTGGGACATTATGATCTCTACGTTCACAAACTCCTTTAGGATTATTTCCTCTATCTATCTTTCATTCTATAGAGAAGAGAGAAGGAAACATCTTTACAATACTTAAGAATAGTGATTGGAATGACTAGGAAGGACCACTTCATCCTCCCTTCCAACTTTGTGAGGAAGGAAAAACAAAAAGCTTTAAGATAGTCAAATGATTCCATCTTGCAACAAGAATTTACTTTCTCTGCTCTCACCATTCCTTTTTCTTGCTCTGATTTATACAGATATGAACACCTCCACCCCAAATCTTTTAAAAAAAAATGTTGCCTCTGAAATAAGTACTACCCAGAAAGTTGTATGGGAATATAAATTCCTACATTTATGGTTAGGTTAGACATTTTTTTTTATTTTAATGTTTGTTCATATAACAATAAAAAAATAGAGAAAAATACTTAAAATACAATAAAATGTGACTTTGACAAATTCAAGCAACCTCAGATGTCCTCAACATTGCCAACATCTCTCATTTGTACATTTTTCCTTCCTGCATTTCTTCTTCTAGAAAGTGTTCCCATTTTATTGCATCCTGTTTTCTTTTCCTAAATGACAGTCATCTTGCTGAAGGCAGATCCTTGCTAATAGTGCATTTTATTTCAGTTTCAATTTTATTTCAATTGTTTCTTTATTGGAAACTTAGAACAACATAAGTTGTTATTAAATACACTCAGTATAATTCTTTATACAAATTATAGTTCAATCATCTTAGATATAAATCTAAATCTATAGTGATCTAAAATAGAGATCCCCAATCCCTGGGCCGCAGCCCACTATTGGCCCATAAGCTGTTTGTAACCAGGCCGCAGAAGTAGCAGTTAGACTTATATACCGCTTCATAGGCCTTTCAGGCCTCTCTAAGCGGTTTACAGAGAGTCAGCATATTGCCCCCAACAATCCGGGTCCTCATTTTACCCACCTCGGAAGGATGGAAGGCTGAGTCAACCCTGAGCC